CAAAAGAGTCCAGTGGAACCTGAGCGATGGGCGTTGCCTTCTGACACACTTCCGGTGATGTCAGGGGGTGTGGCATATTCTAATGATTTATGCTAATGAGTTCCTGCACCTCTTATTCTATGAAATGACCCCTGCTAACAATCATGCGTTTAAGTTATGGGCAGAAAGGTATGGGATGGATATTAGGGGTTTTCTTAACAGCCAGAGTAGTTCAGCAGTGGAATGGGCTGCCTTGGGGGGGGGGGGGGAGCTCCCCCTCCCTGGCAGACTTCAGGCAGCAGCTGGACAAAGACTCGTCAGGGATGCTCTAGGGCTGATCCTACATTGAGCAGGGGGTCCAGGACGGACAAAAGGAAATAGGACTTTACACAGAATTCGCTGCCAGAGGGTGTCATAATGGCCACAGGAATAGACAGCTTTAAAGGGGGATAAGCCAGATTCACAGAATCATAGAATGTTAGAGTTGGAACTGGGACCTAGTCCAACCCCCTGCGCTCTGCAGGAGCACAGCCGAAAGAGAGCCCTACGACATACCCGGAAGATGGCCGTCAAGCCTCCGCTCGAAAACGTCCAGCGAAGGAGCCTCCACCACTTCCCGAGGCAGTCTGTTCCACGGCTCAACCACTCTTACAGTTAGGAAGTTTCTTCCGATATTTAGCCGGTATCGACTCCCTCATGGAGGATAAGTCTATCAGTGGCTACCAGGCATGGTGGCTAAAGAGAACCTCCATGTTCAGAAGCACTAAACCTCTGAATCCCAGAACCAGAAGGCAACATCTGGGGAAGGTCTCAGTGTCTGTGCCCTGTTCTTGGAACTCCAGAGGAACTGGTTGGCCACTGGGTGAGACAAGATGCTGGGCTAAATGGACCACTGGTCTGATCCAGCAGGGCTCTTCTGACGTTCCTGTCAGGGGAAGGCCTCGGCCTCTCTGCCCTGTTGTTGGCCCTCCAGAGGAACTGGTTGGCCCCTGTGTGAGGCAGGATGCTGGACTAGATGGACCCTCCCTGGTCTGATCCAGCAGGCCTCTTCTGATGTTCTTCTCAGGGGAAAGGCCTCGGCCTCTCTGCCCTGTTGTTGCTGGCCCTCCAGAGGAACTGGGTGGCCACAGTGTGAGAGGGGATGCTGGACTAGAGGGACCCTCCCTGGTCTGACCCAGCAGGGCCCTTCTGATGTTCTTCTCAGGGGAAGGCCTCAGCCTCTCTGCCCTGTTTCTGGCCCTCCAGAGGAACTGGTTGGCCCCTGTGTGAGACAGGAGGCTGGACTGGATGGACCGTCACTGGTCTGATCCAGCAGGGCTCTTCTGATGTTCTTCTCAGGGGAAGGCCTCGGCCTCTCTGCCCTGTTGTTGGCCCTCCAGAGGAACTGGGTGGCCACTGTGAGAGAGGGGATGCTGGACCAGATGGACCGTCACTGGTCTGATCCAGCAGGGCTCTTCTGATGTTCTTCTCAGGGGAAGGCCTCGGCCTCTCTGCTCTGTTGTTGACCCTCCAGGGAGGGCTTCTGGTGTCCTGGCCCCACTGGTGGACCTCCTGATGGCACCTGGTATTTCTGGCCCATGTGACACAGAGTGTTGGACTGGATGGGCCTTTGGCCTGATCCAACATTGGCGTCTCTTATGTTCTTATGTTCTAACATGGTTGGCCACTCTGTGAGACAGGATGCTGGATCGGATGGACCTTCACTGGTCTGACCCAGCAGGGCTCTTCTGATGTTCTTCTCAGGGGAAGGCCTCGGCCTCTCTACCCTGTTGCTGGCCCTTACGGCATGACTTAGTCACTGTGCACAGAGAGGTCGCCATGGGATTCAGTAGAGCCTTGGCTTCTCTCCCCCTCCCCTTGCCACATGAGGTTTCAGTGTGCTGGTCTACTGTGGGACCAAGCAGCCAATGGGCACCTCCTGGGTCCCTGCCTAGACTTCTTCTCATCTTCATTCAAATTAAGGGAACTCTGGGTTCAAGAGTTCTGTGCTAAGCCTGGATTGGTTCTGGAACAGCCCACAGTCTTTGTCCCCCTTCCAACCGATTCCTGTAACATTCCTGGTGCACTGCACACCCATGTGCAGAGGCAGCTGTGAGGAAAGCGAATCGTTAAGCCCTATGGCAATTACTCCATGTGCAGCTGCATGTCCTGTGCTGGAATATGTGACAAAGAGGAATCACAGTCACTGTATCGCTAGAAACTGAGAACCAAAAACGGTGATCTACAGCGCAAACTACAGATAAGGAATGTTGGGGGAAAACGTCTGTTAGTATCTTTATCTATTTCTATCCTAATATTTTCCAATAGCATTAGTTACATTCACAGTCAGAACATTCTGATCAAAACATAAACACATGGAATTCACTGCCACAGGAAGTGGTGGCGGCTACAAGCATGGACGGCTTCAAAAGGGAATTAGATAAGCCTATGGAGCAGAGGTCCATCAGTGGCTATTAGCCACAAGGTATAGATAGGGGCTCTGGGGCAAGTGATGCTCTGTCTTCTTGGTGCTTGGGGGGGGGCAACAGTGGGAGGGCTTCTAATGTCCTGGCCCCACAGGTGGACCTCCTGATGGTCCCTGGTATTTCTGGCCACTGTGTGATACAGAGTGTTGGACTGGATGGGCCATTGGCCTGATCCAACATTGGCTTCTCTTATGTTCTTAAGAGGGGATTGGATGGACATATGGAGCAGAGGTCCATCGGTGGCTATTAGCCACAAGGTATAGATAGGGGCTCTGGGGCAAGTGAGGCTCTGTATTCTTGGTGCTTGGGGTGGGGGCAACAGTGGGAGGGCTTCTAATGTCCTGGCCCCACTGCTGGACCTCCTGAGGGTATCTGGTGTTTTTGGCCACTGTGTGACACAGAGTGTTGGACTGGATGGGCCTTTGGCTTGATCCAACATTGGCGTCTCTTATGTTCTTATGTTCTATGTTCTTAAAGTCACCTATCTGATCAGTACTAATAGAGTCCAGAAGATGGTTACTCCAAAACATCCTATCCAAAAAGTCCAGGCCGGGTAATCTTGTACGAGATACTAGATGTAGAAAAATCCAATAAGGAAAAACCCGTTAGACCAATTAGGAAGAAGATGTCTGGATTACTATCCAGCTCATTTCAAGTATAGGACTTTTCTTCAGCCAATTTGTTTTTTAAAAAATTGCTTCTATAATCTTCAGCCAGTTGACGAGATAGATAGCTATCAATGTTGGGATTACATTCCGGTATGAAAGATCCGTAAAACATTTATATAATACACTCAAGTCATCGTACAGAGTTTTACATGAAGCATCATAAAACATTACAGATAAACTTAATTAAATTTCAAGCTGCGCTGGAATGGATCGTGCCCAAGGGAAACGTTTGGTGGTTGTGGTTTTTTTTAAGTGGATTCCGGAACAATGAGGTGTTCGATACTCGCTCGGTGAGACGCTCACACATGTATTTTGATGTTGTTCCTTGGACCAGAGATTCCCAGATGTATAGAAATAATTGAAGCCTCATTGTGTATCAGGAGATCATAATGTATTTCAGGTTTATTTATTTGGTTATCTTGCTGGTTCTTGTGAATCATTATGTTTTCTCACAGTGTGAGTCAGAGATTACTGTGCTAATTAGGTCCACCAGAGTAATTATACACACGTACATAACACACAATTATTGTACATGAAGATTTTGTTTCCTGTTTTTGATTTGTTTACACAGATGTTGTCTTTTGTGGACATAACTGAATCAGTTCATTTGTATATCGCATCATACCCCCTTTTTTTTTGAGGGAGAGTTCCCTTTTTTCTCTTTGTGCTCATCCTCGTTGGTTTACCCCAGAGGTCCCCCACCCTTTTGAGTCCGTTGGCACCTCTGTAGTTCTGACACAGGGGAATGGCAGTGGGCATAACCACAAAATGGCTGCCGGAGGGGGTGGAGCCAACCACAAAATGGCTGCCGGAGGGGGCGGAGCCAACCACAAAATGGCTGCCGTGGGAGGCAGAGCCAAAATCACAGAGGAAACCCCGTTGTAGGGGAGAAGGCGGGTCATTTAAAAATACGCCGGGAAGAGGGATGAGAGGGAATAAGGCACTGTGGTGGCGGCGGCCAATGAAATACTGTTATTTGAATCTGCATAGCCAATCAGGTCTTCAGTGACCGGTCAGAAGCCCTGGTTGGCAAGAACCCCACATGGCCCCACCCACTTGGCGGGCACCAGGAAAGGTGTCAGCGGTTACCATGACGCCCACGGGCACCGCGTTGGGGACCCCCGGTTCACCCTGTCTTTTGTAGTCGGGCATGTCCCTCTTTTTTGTGTCGGTCACCTGGGCTTCCGTCCTGCTCCTCACGCCCTCCCTGGTGTCTTCCCTCCAGTGCTCGGTCCTCTGCGGCTTGGGCCACCGAACGCGCCACGTCCGCTGTGTCAGCAATGAGGGTTACCTGCTAAGGGACAGCGACTGCCCGGGCAACCACCGGCCCAAGACCAGCGAGACCTGCGACATGGGCCCGTGCGTGCGCACGTGGTTCTACAGCGATTGGAGCACCACGGTACGTGGGGGGCGGTTCTTCCCGGGCCTTCTGCCTCTCCCACTGTTCCCTGCCGGGGCGGCGTTACGTCTCCGCCAAGCGGGAGAGACGCTTCTCCCCCTGCAATCCCCCCCCCCAAGTTTCCCTCAACTTTGGGGCACGTGTAAACCCGGTCTCTTTTTGCTCCATCGTAGAATCATAGAGTCGGAAGGGACCTTGAGGGTCATCTAGTCCAACCCCCTGCACTCTGGTGGACCATTATTCTGGTCTGAGCCACAGCCCCCAGCCCGTGCTAACGGAAAATGTTATTCCAGCTTTTTTGGGGGGGGGGGGCCTGCAGATTGAGACCGACGTACTCACAAAGGAGACCGCAGCTGGGCATTGCTTCATCCAACCCACCAAGAAGGTTTCTTTATTCAAAACCTTTATTGGCCACCTTTCTAACCACGCGGAAATCAAGGTGGCCATAGGAAAGCCCAGAGCCATCACAGACGAAATCATCTGAGAGTGCTGCGTGGCAGGGCAGAGTGGCGTCTCTGACCCATGAAACGTTCTGCTGCTTTGAATTTTCTCGCATGGTCTGAGCCAAAGGCATAGAATCCTCGAGTCGGAAGGGACCTCCAAGGTCATCTAGTCCAACCCCCTGCACAATGCAGGAGATTCTCCGCCAGGTCTCCCCCCCCCCCCCCACACACACACCCAGTGACCCCTGCTCCATGCCCAGATGATTACCAAAAACCTTCAGGATTTCCAAACTGGCCTGGAGAAAAAATCGCTTGCTGACCCCAACGTGGCGATCGGCATTTCCCTGGGCGTGTAAGAAAGGGCCACGAGGACTGAGGCCACCCTCCCTGCCCTCATTTAATTTACAAAACTTGTAGCCCACCTTTCTGCCCTTACAAACTGAGAGCCGGTTTGGTTGTAGTGGTTAAGAGCGGCGGACTCTGATCCGAAGAACCGGGTTTTGATTCCCCACTCCGCCACATGCAGCTGCTGGTGTGGCCTTGGGTCAGTCACAAGTTCTCCGAGAGCTGTTCTCCCAGGAGCAGTTCTCGAGAGAGCTCTCTCAGCCCCACCTGCCTCACAGGGTGTCTGCTGTGGGGAGGGGAAGGGAAAGGAGATTGTAAGCCGCGCTGAGACTCTTTCAGGTAGCGAAGGGCGGGGTATGAATCCAATCTCCTCCTCCTGTTCCTCCTCTTCCTCCTCTGAGACTCCAAGTGAAGTGTGGGATATGAATTCAATCTCTGTCTCTCTCTGTCTCTCTCTGTGTGTGTCTCTGTCTCTCTCTCTCTCTGTCTGTCTCTGTCTCTGTCTCTCTCTGTCCTCTCTCTGTCCTAACTCTGCCTGTCTGTCTCTCTCTCTGTCCTCTCTCTGTCTGTCTCTGTCTCTCTGTGTGTCTCTGTCTCTGTCTCTCTCTGTCTCTCTCTCTGTGTCTCTCTCTCTCTAACTCTCTCTCTGACTCTCTCTCTCTCTCTCTCTCTTTCTTTCTTTCTTTCTTTCTTTCTTTCTTTCTTTCTTTCTTTCTTTCTTTCTCTCTCTCTCCCTCCCTCCCTCCCTCCCTCCCTCC